CAGTTCCAGCACAGCTGTGCAGTTCGAGCGCTGTGCTGCAGCCTAATCGTAACACAAATCAAACGATTCGAAAAGAACAGTGGTATTTCTTATTACGTATGAGCAGCATACGCTATGTCGTTTGCGTTCTATTCTGACGATTGCGCGCTCCATTTCCTGCAAACTCGTCGCAATACTCAACAATTTTTGATGAAAAGTTTTTCTCTTTCCTCTTGTTGATTGACGGTCAGACTGCTGTAAAACAATTATCACAAATAGCTAGTCAATAGTGGTCTTTCGGTGTTTTCATTGCCTGTCGAATCCACGGGAGAACCCGAAGCTTGAGGTTACACGTGTTTGTCGCGCGCGGCGCAAGTCTGCCGCTTTCTGGTGAACGCACAATCGCTTACGTGGTTCAACTTCATAAATTTGTATATTCGCTGGCATCTCATAATTCTCTGAACTAATTTTATATTTGTTTCAGTACGCATTTTGTCTGTACGTTTTATCTTCATACATCAATCTCCGCATCATATTTAAAATTTGCGATGTTGTATTCGTTTCATGATGTTTTTAACCATAATTCGTTCGATTTTGCGGATTAGGATTGTGTTACTGGTTGTAAACAAGGCTTGATTTTTTTCCTTTCCTCATGGCTTAGCCCTCTTAGATTCTCTCTCGTCAAACATCCAGTCAATCCTTAAATCTCTTAATTTCGCGCTTTATGTCGCAACATATAACCGTTCCTTCTCATTTATTACTACATCTCATCCCATATCCAGGGCTCCATGGCTACTTGGGAGGAGTATCTAGCTACCCAACAGTCTGTTGATGGAGTGCAGTTCACATGGAACTTGTGGCCTCACAGCAGGGTAGATGCACAACGGCTCGTAGTTCCTGTATCATGTTTCTTCACACCTCTAAAGGTATCTGGTTACTTGTCTGCCGATGTTTCTTGAAATTATCTATGCTAAAAGCGATTCTTCTCCAGGAAAGGCCAGCTGATCAACCGCAGCAACCACCCCTCGAGTATGATCCCGTGCTATGCCAGAAAGCTAGCTGTAAAGCTATCTTGAATCCTCTATGGTAAGTTGGATTTGGTCATTGAACTCGAAGTAGGAAGCAGAGTAACAGGTCATCAAGCAGAGTAACAGGTCATCACACTGCTGCTTTGGTTTTCTTGATTTTTCAATTTTTTTCAACAGTATACACTGCAACTTTTGACAGTTGCTTTCTAACTAAGTAGTCATTTTGGCGTTTTTGCTGCCGTGTTTGAGTGAATGAGCTAAGATCTTACCTGTTTTAGCTAAATCTGATGTTTTTTCGCGGTTAGGTCCATAATAAGTGTTCTCACACTAGCTCATTCTTCCCTTTCAGTTTCGTGGACTTTCGCGCAAAAACTTGGGTTTGCCCTTTCTGCAACCAGAGGAATCCATTCCCTGCTCACTATGCCGCAATCGCTGAGGATAATCGACCGCCAGAACTGTATCCGCAGTTTACAACGATAGAATACACGCTGAAGGTGATTCTAGCAAAAGTTTTCTTTGCTCTTTGCAATTTCAAATTCTTCTATTCCTAGCCAAATGGCATCATGTCATAATTTGCATTGTTCAAGTATTCTTAGACATTGTTCATGGAAATGCTCGCAATTCTTTCTCGGTGGACTTAGCTAATCGGAAGTCTTCGTTGATCTTCTAATCTCTTGTGTGAACGGTTGCCTTAGTACCTACAAGGAAGATATTGGTCGAAGTGGCGTTTTCATACAGTACGTATACCATCTATAGCGCATGAAACGCCGATTACAAATCTACTTTCGTTATCTGCAAAGCCCTTTTGGAAGAGGAGTTACGGATATTTTTGCCGCAAAAATTCGGAAGCGACGCTATGATAAAATCATTCAGAACCTTGGTTCGTAAGCTCAAATGGGGCCATGGTTACTACCAGGACGCCTTATGCAGTAAATTTCTTTGATTTAGCAAACTCATTGTAGTCGATACGCACCGGATGACCTTAACACCTGTTTTTACCTTGGGCAAAACTTGAATTTTTGTCTTAAAAAATTTCTATAACTCCGATCGCAGAAGTGCTTTGCAGATATCGAAAGCAGTTATAGAATCACCGTTCCATGCTCTATGAGATAGTATATATTCCTCATGAGAACGTCACTCCGACCAAGTATCCTTCCCTTGTTAGCACTAATGCAAAAGCATCTCATCGATCGACTGCGCAACAGTATTAGTTTTTGTTGTTGTAAAGCAAAAATCCCCATAACTTTTTTGTTTTTTTTTCTTTTATTTTGAGGAGCGGTAGAATATGATATGGTTATATATCTGATTCCTGGAATCGTGATCGTTCATAACTTTCAGAGAAATTGTTGGTTTCGTTTACAACAGTAATTGATGCTTTGGTGGTGTAGTGACCTGATGGGTAAATATAGTATATCTTACAGAAAGCTACTACAATGCCGCCAATCTTCATGTTTGTTGTGGACACTTGTATAACTTCCGATGAACTCAAGGCGCTCAAGGAAAGCTTGCAGGTCTGTTACTGTCAATTTTATTCACCCCTTATATGAATGTGGTCGATGTGGATGCATTCGCGTTAATATCATATGTTTTGAAATCTGTTATCTCCTCAGTTTTAGACAGCTCTATCACTGCTTCCTGCCGATGCTATGGTTGGCATAATCACGTATGGTCGAATGGTTCAGTTGCACGAACTCAACGTACAAGGAATCAGCCGAAGTTTTGTTTTCAAGGTTCGTTTTTTTTTTGCTTTTTGAATTTGGGCCAAAAGTGCGTCGT